CCCGGTAGAACCAATTTGGGAAATAAACTTTTCTAAAGTGTTTTTGGCCTAGGTGTTCTGAGTAGTGACGTGGAGCGAACTTCGTAACTCTTGGTTCTGGGTTCGATTCCCGATAGAACCAATTTAGGAAATGAACTTTTCTGAAGTGTTTTTGGCCTAGGTATTCTGGTAATGCCACTGTTTGGATTCCTTTGTTCTGGTACTCATAAGGAGTACAGAGAGTTTTCTTGCTTGAGACCAGCATGCGTAGCATGACGGTATATCGCATACGATATGTAATAAGCCTCCCTCTGATATATATATATAATGCAGTTGATAAAGCGGTTTATTTATTTCGAGTACTTCCATGTACTCAGTTCCACATGGAACAGTTGTAACACAAAAATTTCAAAACCTATGTTGTCATTGTAAAATTATTTTTTTTAAATGTGAGTAGGTAAGATACCGCACTAAAGCCATTCGTTCTTTAGTTTAATTGATAATGAACGCACGTTATACATTTTGCAGAACAAGGACAGCGATATGAAATTGCATATATAGCTAACTTTGTCATTTAGTCATCGAAAATTATAATCCTGTTAATTGCATCGTGGTAAAACGACGAAACAAAAAATCGTTCATTATCAAATCAAACAAACAAAGAAAAAATAATACTAGTGTGTGTGGTATCTTACCGATTCAGTATTCGCAATAGAAAATAAAATTTATTGAAATGGCAACATTGCTTTATCGAGTGCAATAAATTTTTATAAAGTTCATCAGATATTGCATACGATGTGCTGCGATATATTTCATTTATCGCGCTCAATTTTTATGTTTACAAAATTACTGTGTAGTACTGTCAAAATGGTTTCAAATCAGCTGTGACCATGTTTGACACTGCGTTATTCTTTCGCGGCCATTGATCGAGGCCCGCGCGATGCGTCAAAAATCGTCATCGTCGACGTCACTATAGTAAAAAAATTACAAATGGCAGTTTTATCAATTTAATTTGACAGCTAAATGTGGCTATGTGGTATATTGCGTCGTTATGCTACGGGCACTGGCTGTTGTCTGACAATAGAACAGGTATAAGTTCATTCGCTTTGTTTCATTATTTAGTTCATCAAGTTTATCCAAAACATCTAGGCCAAAACCACTTTAGTAAAGTTCATTTCTCAAATTTGTTCTACCGAGAAGCGAACCCGGGATCAAAGGCTACGGAATTCACTACTCAGAACCCCTAGGCTAATACCATTTTTTTTAAATCATTTTCAAAATTGTTTCTACCGGGAATCGAACCCGGAACCAAGAGCTACGGAATTCACTCCGCGGCACTTTCCAGAGCACATAGGCCAAAACCGCGTTAGAAAAGTACATTTCCATAATTGGTTCTACCGGTAATGAAACCCGGGACCTTCTCATCCACGTAATATTATTTGCATGTATAATCTACAAATTGCTTAAACGCGACCACTCATCCATAAACTAGATGCAGCAAGAGGTCGAGCTCACTTTATAATATGCAGTATAATATAGAACATACTGTCTACTAAATAAAGTATATATAATTGTAAGTCAATGATTGCCTCTATCAAAAAAGATTTTGTTTGTTTCTCAAAGAAATATCGACTTTGTGTAGTATATTACATATATAATATTATATACTACATTGCATTTACTACGCAATCTGCTTTTCAAAGAAATATACCTTATTGTTGAGAAACTAAGTCAAACCTTGTATTGTCGGACTGAAACGGGCAGAGTCGTGCAGGATGGCGCCACGCGGCTTTACTCTTTTGTTTTTTGTTATTTGAAGAAATGTATACTTTATTATTAAATAAAGAATATGTTCTATAGTTTATTGCATTTTATAAAGTGCGCCCGCCACACTTCTCTGCAGCTCGCCGCCGCTTGAAGCAGCTTCGTTTTCATGTGTTGGTTTAATGCGGGGATGCACAGACCGCGGCCCGCCAGTGAAATACTGGTGGCCCGCCGACAGCAAAATAATACTCTCGTACATTCGAAAAGTATTGAATTCTATTTCAGAATAAAACCAAAAAAAATATGTTCCAAAAGTAATTTAAATTCCACGCGCGCGCTATTAAGTGCGCTTATCGGTGCGCCGTGCGTGCGTCGGTAACAGCGGTCGGTAATGTTCGTGCTGATCTCGGTTAAATTCGTTTTCTTGAGAGCGCGGTGGCGGCTTATCCACGCATTATATTGTTGGTGTTAATACGATTGCTCGCGTAGATACACGAAGCTTCCAGAGTTGGTTTCGAGATTTTTCGACTCTCTACGCGCGGTATAAAAGCCACGCTAACCGCAGCGACCGCCAGTTCGGTATTAATTTGAGTGAAGTGTCAACAGAAAGAAGCAATTATATATAATACTGTTTTTGGAAGGCAATAGTTCTAGTGTAGATTTTAATGCGACTAGCCGATGTCATATATTTTGATCCAAATTCAACGTAGATTTCCTGTTGCAGTGTTAACCCGTCAAGTGCCGTGTATAATTGTGTTGTGAAATCGTAAGTAAAACTCTGTTATTAATAAATGTTTCCCTACCTATTTAATCAATTATTTTTGGTAATTTAAAAAAGGATGTGTAATTTAAGTAGGTACTGTAATTGTTTTTAGGTGCAGTGTTAACCCTAGACAGGATTAGAACGCAACATGGACAAGCCAGGACCTAGTAAAAAACGTAAGGCTAAAGATGAAAATCGGCAGTTTCAAGAAATATGGACTGAGAAATACTTTTTTGTATGGTCGCATAACAAAGTCGTTTGTTGAATTTGCAAGAATTCTGTTGCGATTGCAAAGGAATATAATGTAAAAAGGCACTATGAAACGCAGCATTCTACTATTACCAAATTAACAGGCGAATTAAGAAAGCAAAAAATGTTGTCTTTAAAACGGGAGCTTATTGGTCAGCAAGCTATGTTTCCAAAACTCATTCAAGATTCAGAAACAGCTACAGAAGTTAGTTATGAAATTTCTCGAATGATAGCAAAGCGACGAATCCACTGATATTAGTTCCACAGCTCAACTACTCATATTCATACGAGGTGTTACTCAAGATTTTGAAGTCGTAGAAGAGTTATTAGGAATGTGTTCATTGAAAGGTCAAACCAAAGGAGTTGATATATGCAATGTACTTTTGGATAAGTGTTCAAAAACTGGTTTGGACTTATCAAAATTATCGGGAGTTGCGACTGACGGTGCTCCTTCTATGATTGGTGTCAATTCCGGGCTAGTTACTTTGCTAAAAAAGTGTCTGCAAAAAAAAACATAAACGCTGAAGATCTCAAGCAGTTTCACTACATTATACACCAAGAAGCCCTCTGTTCTAAAAAAATTGAATTTCTAAATGTCATGAAAGTGGTAGTTTCAACTGTAAATTTCATAAAATCACGAGGACTCAATCACAGGCAATTCAAACAATTCCTTGATGACATCGAAAGCGAATATGGAGATTTGCTGTTTTATACAGAAGTAAGGTGGCTAAGTCGTGGATTGATACTGGAACGATTTCTAAATTTAATAGAAAAAATTAGAATATTTCTGGCGGAAAAGCAAAGGGATGTCCCGGAACTTAAAAATCCTGATTGGTTGTGTGATTTGGCTTTTTTAGTTGATATTACAAATCATTAGAATGTCTTGAACACACGGCTTCAAGGCAAAAATCAACTGATATCCCAGCTCTACGCTCATGTATCATCCTTTCAATGCAAGCTGACACTTTTCAGATCGCAACTGAATTCTGGAAATTACAATCATTTTCCGAATTATAAGAATATGGCCGAAAAATTCAACAAAACTGCGATTAATTTCAGTTATGTAGAAAAGCTAGATATTTTGATTCAATCTTTTAAAGACAGATTTTCGGACTTTAAAAAAGTGAAACCTCTGTTGGACATATTCAGCAATCCTTTCACGATTTCAGTTGAAAATGCGCCAGAGTAAATGCAGTTAGAAATTATCGACATTCAAAACGACCAAGATTTACGCAACAAATTCAACGAAGGAGACTTGTTGAACTTTTACCACTGCATTGATAAAAATATGTACAAAGAGTTGCGCATAAACGCTTTGAAATGTGCCAGCTTATTTGGTTCTACCTATATATGTGAACAAACTTTTTCAATACTAAATAATAATAAAACAAAAAATCGAAACCGCCTTGCAAATGAAAGTTTGGAAGCAGTTTTACGTGTTGCTACAAGTAAATTTGAGCCAAATATAAAAAAGATTGTAAGCACTATGCAGTGCCACGCTTCAAATTAATAAATTATTTTTCAATTTTAATACATTATTATCAATTCTTTATTGTCTTTAATTAAGTACCTATACTTCTGACGGCCCGCCATCAATTCATGATTTGCCCGAGTGGCCCCTAGTCTTAATAAGTCTGTGCATCCCTGGTTTAATGTAATGTTGCCTTATTTTGTTGAGGATAAAGTTTATGTTGTATTGCTCGCGTTAATGACCCGCCGCGTCGCGTAGCTTCCCCTCAACCATGAATCAACGCTAAAAGACAGACTCTGGCTGTAAATACCACTTTGATCTTCGTAAAAAGTTGAATCAAAAGCTTTTTAAATACTTGGGTGCAACTAAACCGGTTGGCACAGTTTTGTTGAGTGAGATTATGGTTTCTACCAAGAAATCATTGTTTAAGTTAAGCTGTTTTACAGCAACTACTAGATGTACAAAAAGCATTACCTGCACAGCGGCTTTGACTTGCTGCATAATCGATGGTTGTTTCTTAGCGTCGGTCTTTTGCTTGGATTTGAACATATCAAACAGCGCCGGTCGGCGACTCACGCCGGTTGTACCTATTTAAAAACAAATTTGTATTACACAAATTGATGGTACACATTATTCGTAATTTAATTATTAATTATTCCATTAATTATTGTACTTTCTGTTCCAAGGTCTGTTAAGCTTTCAAAAGTACACGAGTTTTCATTAGGTAGGTACCACAATGTGCATAGTTCTACACACTCTCTAGTGAGTACTTTACCGTTTATTCTTATAATGTACTACACTGTAGTTGCACTGATATCTATATGTATAATATTTTACTTCACTCAACGCATCAATTGATTGAGTGCACCCTTGAACTTGGAAACGAGATCCGATTGTAGATACAGGAATAAAAAAGCCAATTATAAGTCTAGAACACGGTTCCCAAACTTATTTTGTCTACTGCCCACTTTGAGAGTAAATTATTTTTAAGCGCCCCCCTTTTTTCACCTACTTAAAAACCACTAAAACTTCAAATAAAATTAATTATTGTGAGCTATATTAGCGGAGATTAAACATTCATTCTAAACGAGACTTTTACTATAACCCGCAAGAGTTAACTTGAGACCTGAGCGCAGTAGGTAGTACACAATGGTGCTCAGGTCTCAAGTTAACTCTTAACCAACCACACCCTTAACCACGTTCACACAAATATGACGATGGAAATGCTATCAAGAATCGTTGAACGATTGACCACAATCCAGGGTACAATTGCGGGATCGGTTTCTGTAGCCAAAATTCTTGGTAGCCATTTTTGAACTTGATTTTTATTTCCTCGTTCGTTGTCAATTCCATAAGTTCTTCTTCCAGCTGAGATGATATTGCTGTATTGACATTTGAAAACTCAATGTTAAGAAAAAAAATTATTGCTAAATAATAACATTTTTGTCATAGGCCTGCTTAGATTAGATTAGAAGTCCACAGGTATATTTCCCACGTCAGCCGGCGGTATAGAGCGAAGCTACCTTGGTGAAGCGAAATGCTTCTCCTGCGGTGTTTTCTAGGCAAATCAGGACCTACAAAAAAAAGTAAGTAGTGGACTGTATTTTTTGCGGTTCGATTCAGATTGAAATTAACTTGTACAAACTGCACTTGCATGTAGCTTCCTATAAGGACTGGAATAATGATACGTAGGTCGACGAACAGAGAGAAATGATGGGAACATGCACACTCACCTTGATCTTTCTTTGGATACCTGTAGGGCTAGCACTACAGGGCGCGACTTATGCGAGAGCGACATAAAGCGCGAAATCTCTATGCGAGATAAGCAGTATGTCCCTCTCGCCCAAGGCGCGCCCTGTCGTGGTATTACTGGCAGCAAATGCGCCTGGAACTTGACGGGTTCACTTCTGAGCACAGTCTTATTGCGAAAAGTAAACTATAAAATTACGATCACGCTAATTAGCCATTTTTAATACACACAGTTCGGTGTCTCAGGTTAGACTGTCGTTTTTTTCTTTACCACCTCATAGGCTGGTCATCGGCCAGCGAAAAGACGACAGCAGCAAAGTGCGCATGTTTGAGGAGGATGGAGCGAACAAAAGGAAAGAAGTTCTTGCAAGTGTTAGGATCCACCCTATACCATTTTTGATAAAATTCTTACTTAACAACAGAATGCGGAGCACAGTACTTGTGCTAGTAAAAGTACAATAAAAGATAAATTAAATCTACACTTTAACCTAAAATCTATGAGTGTGTGATTCTCGTAGAACAAATGAGAACAACTTTGTGTTAGAAGCACAATTTAAAGTTTGGTACTTCACACTTAAACAAATGTTGCAATAAGAGTTAATTTTAATAAAATTATAAATAAATGTCAGTTATTAAATATTAAATATTAGACAACATGACATACGTTGCTCTGATCCCAAAGTAAGGAACTAAAGCAATTGTGTGTACATCTGTCGTGGACATCGGACACAACAGTACCACAAACACCCAGACCCGAGACAATATAGAAATGTCAGTTTTTCTACATTGACCCGGCCGGGGATCGAACCCGGGGCCTCAAAGATAGCGACACCATGAAAATCGGTGTGCAAGCCGCCCACCGAGGTCGTCAATTAACTCTTTCACGCGGAGACAATTTCTTAAAAGATGAACACAATTATAAATGTTCGTGTTGTTTATTATTACTCAGAGCGCATTTATCGAATGGCCTTGTACCTGAGCCTAAGTCAGTGTTAACAAAAGACTTCGTCAAATGCGTAGGGTTGTGGCTGCGTTGCCGGTAATGTTGCGAATTATTAGCCGGTTTGTGTGTACTTACCTACATCAGGAGAACGAGACAGCACATTAGTATTCTTTAATGAACTCGATTAAATTTCGATAGGTCGGAATTTGCTCTTTGCGATATTTAAGTTCATATATTTCAATAGTATTCGTGTCTAACTTCTAGACCCTCAAATGCAAAAATATGAAGACGATTAAGTCCATAAGCTTCATTTGTTTGAGCGCTTCTACGTCTATAGATGAATTAAAATTATGAATAAACGAATCCAGTCCGGTTGCACTTCTATTAGAAAGCGATTTAAAATGTAAGAATTGATTAAGATCTGTACCTACATACGAGTACAATCGAACGAAGATCGTCACACTTTTGTACAAGAGCTTCCCAGCTCATGTAATAAGTCTCTGCGGCAGGTGCCAGCCCTGCGCAAACAGAAGATGCCTGCCCGGTTAATTTGCCTACTTGGTAGGCAAATTAACCTACCTTTTCACTATCTGTAAGCGACACGTTATTATGAATTACACTTTTGAATTGTTGATAAAATAAGGGTCAACTCATGACATCTGTATTGGATGAAATCAAATCAATGGGTGGAAGGTCAGGCTTAGTTTTCGAATGAGTTTGCGACCTTTACTTAATGTCAAATAAAACTTGTTTGATATAAGAATACATTTCATCGAATGACGTCCATGATTCATACTCGACAGGCGACACGGAACATAATTGTAAATATAAAGTATTGTAAGAATCCAAAACACTTTGGTAGTCATTGCGTAACACACGCATGTACGTTCATCACACTTATGAACATGTTCGACAATATTGAGGATCACTTTCAGCTTTATGCGCAAGTAAGTCTTAATATGTTTTGCATTCTTTTAAAAATCACATCGCGTTTCGTTTCATAAATGAACAGCTGATTTTTTGTCGTATCGCTATCGAGATCATCTGCGAGGCCCTCACTGCCTTTCCTTTTGAGTTTACTCATTGTAAATAATAATAAATAGATTTAACGGTAATATGTAAATAAATTAAATCAAAAAATATTAATTCGGCCCTATGAAATTCAAATAAAAAGGTTTCCGTAAAATGTAAACAAACAAAAAATTGATAAATTGCGGGTATATAATAATATCTAACCATATGTTGACGTTAGCGCGATTGTTAACGGCAGGCGGAGCGAGTCCAAGCTGACACGAAGTTAGCCGTTGCTAACCGAAACGGACCGAAGTTTCTCGTACAGTTGAAAATATAGTCGTCGGCTAAATTTGAAAACCTCAGAAGTGCGTTCTTGCGCGCAATCCCTTTTTTACTTTTAAAGCGCAATCTCGGACAAATAAAGCTTAAAATATCGTTTGTAGACCATTTTTAAAAATAAAATAAAAAAGTATAATCATGTATTGTCATGTAGGTAATTATTGTGTACTACGTATGCGATGCGGAAATAAAGAGAAATAGCTGCGCCGATGAGGGCATATAAACAAGAATTAGCAAACTATTTTAAAATACGCGAAGACTTTGTTAAGTTATTACCTTGCGGTTTCAATACGAAGAATACCGATTAAAACTACATACGTCTCTCGTCCGGCCGAAGTGACCACAAATTATGGTGAAGCGCAATGCTTCTCCAGGGGTATTTTCTAGGCAAATCAGGACTACAGAGAGACCTAGCCTTACCGATAAGCAGTGGACTGTATTCTTTGCGGTTTAACTTAGATTACAAATTACTTGTACTAACTACACTTGCAAGTAGCTTCATATAAGGACTGGAACAATGATATGTAGGTCGAAGAACAGAGAAAAATGACGGGAAGATACACACTCACCACACTCGTTCTTTAGACACTTTGCAGCAATTCCGCCTGGATAAGGCCGCAACTGGAGGAAACTTCACATGTTCACTCCTGAGCACAGTCTTTTTGCGAAAAATAAACTATTTAATTACGATCGCGCTAATTAGCCATTTTTAATACACACACTTCGGTGTCACAGGTTAGACTATCGTCTTTGTTTTCGTTGCTAACTCAAAGGATGGTCATCGGTCAATGAAAAGGACGGCAACAGCAAAGTGCCCATGTTTGAGGACGATAGATATAAAAAGATAGAGGATACAATAGGAAAGAAATTCTTGCAAGTGTTACGATCTACCCTACACTATTTTTGATAAATGTCAAATACAAAAAAATATGAAATCCAATAAACCTAACGCTGCAGTCCCTTGAAATGCCAGTAGAAGCAAGATTCAAAATTGTCATACCATGTATAGTCTGTTGATACATGGGATGTGGCTGTCCGTCGTCAGCTGAGCCACGCCTCTTACGCTCGCCGACCGACTGCGTGCTTCGCGTGATAGCCGCATCCAGCCGTTGCTCTGAAAATCACAATCACAGTATTAACTACGTACCCTATACCATAATTATCACTATACTTATTAAATGTGGAAGACGAACAATAAGAGTCAGAATGAGTCCATCAAAGCCTCAAATAATTCATCAGATATACACATATCTCAATAAATGTAATATGCCCATTGCAGTGTCAGGTTTGTAGAGATGATGATGATTGTAAACCTCTTTATAAAAATCTCTGTCCTTCATTGCACAGAAATACTAGTTGCATATTAATTGAACCGTCCGAGTTCACCGGTAAAGACGCATAATTTTGGTTTTAGTGGTTCGCAGTTGCTCCTGCAAAATTATGCACCAATTTGACGACAACGTTGTTGTTATATGAGGTAATAAATAAAAAAGTTAATTTTTTATTTATTACCCAGGTTCGATTTCGCCGTAATACTGTATAGGTTCGTTTCAATAATACGTCATACTTTGTCCGTTATCCAAGTTAGGAAATACATGAAGTCAGAAAGGTCTCAAGTCAGTTGTATAACGGAAGATAAATATTACTTTCACAAGGCATTACATTTCAATGTGATTTTTTTTAATTTATTTATTACATTTAAAAGGACTAAAAACAAAATATTCCGTTATAACATTCAACAAACTTAACTAAGTTTTTTCGTATACCGCTCATTCATGCAAAAACATTTCTATGTGTAGTGTATGCTTTCGTACTGCTGCGTGTTGACATTCCTCTTAGTGTGCTTGAGAGTCGTTAATAAAGGGGACACCCTTCATTGACGACATACAACCGCTGAACACGAGTCTATTCTAATAAATGGTCGTGAACAGTACTTTAATGTTAAATTTAAAGTGAGTAAATACCTATGCATGTTGTTAGGTAAAATTAGATAGGACTAATAATTATTTATTTCATGTTGGTATTAATTTTTTCTAAAAAGTATTTTTTCATTTAGGTTTGATGTTTTACAGTTTAATGTTTTTATTTTTTTAGAGAATTTCGTTTATTACATAAAATATTATATAATATTTTAATTTATTTTTTTTTACCATAAACATTTCGATATGACCGTTGTATGTTGGCGCCTATGGCAGAGTAATAACGTGTAAACTGCATTTGTATATGTCGCAGCCGTATTGTATAAAGCGCCGTATTACATTACGGGTAGCCGGTTTGCAAAATGGCACTGTTTTCTTCAGTCATGTTCAGCCGGATTGTGATCACGATACGTTCTACGAAGCGGTGGCCAACGTTTAGCCGTATTGTACACAGAGAAAATGCATAGGCCGTAGCACAGATTACTTAATAGTTACTACGTAATAGATACGTAACTCTCGTACAACAATGCATGCGAGTGCCTGCGTGTGCCTGTAAGTGCCGAGTGCCTGCGTGTGCCTGTAAGTGCCGAGTGCCTAAAAGTGTGCGTACAAGTGCGTGAAGTGCGTGCGTATACTTACGAGTGCGTGGAATGTGTGCGAGTATGTGCGAGTGCGTGGAGTGCGTGCGTGTGCGTGCGAGTGCGTGGAGTACCTGCAAGAGCTTGCGAGTGTCTTCGAGTGCCTATGAGAGCCTGTGAATGCCTAAGAATCAGTGGAGTGTGAGTGCCTGCGAGAGCCTAAGAGTGCGTGGAGTGCCTGTGAGTGTGTGCGAATGCCTGCGAGTGCCTGCGAGTGTGTGCGAATGCCTGCGAGTGCGTGCGAATGCAAGTGCCTGCGAATTCCTTGTTTGCGCCCCTTATTCAGCTGGTTAGGTTAGCATATGAAAAAGCTGCCAGCCAGATGCAAATTTATTTGCGTTTCCAAACATGGTTTCCGGTTCAATTATGTTATAATTAATATAATTTACCATAAAAATTACTAATAATAGTTTTCAGTAAAATATAAATTAAGTTGGTAGAGGTCAGCACGATTTTTACAGCATAACTAAGTGCCTTATTGGATACCAGCGACACATTCCTTAGCCGCTTTGTAAAACGCCACGTGCTATTCAATGCGGCGTACTTTTTTTAGGCGAATTGCAATCCGGCTGATCACGAGGTAACCGTATTAGAAAACAGCGCCGTCTTACACAGCGGCTAGCCGTAATGAATACCGCGCTTTATACAATGTAGATACGACATAATAATATACACACATCAAAAAAAGTTTGCGATCACTTCGAAAAACTGAAATATTTTTTGTTACTGTAGATTATATTATGATTTTTTCTTCTTTTTAGATTCTTTATTTAAAAATAAACTAGAACATAAAACAATGACCCCGTTCAATTGTTTTTTCATATAAAAAGGCTTTCAGTCCTAGCTTACGCTCATTCAGAAATCTGATTTAGTCAATTATAAGCGATTCAAGACATTTTTCGCGGAAAGTTGTGATTGAAAAAATGCCAAGAGGATTATCAGAGGTTTTACGAGCTAGAATAGTAACTTTGAGGGAAGAACGAGACACCACGAGAGTAATAACACGCAGACTTGCTATATCCCAATCCTGTGTCGTGGCTACGTTGCAGAGGTATCACGGAATGGGGAATTTAGCTGACCGACCCCGCAGCGGTCGCCCAACTGTTTTGACAGCTGCCCAAAAGCGCTATATTAGATTGCTGGCAGCCCGTGATCCAACAATCAACGCCAGTAAAATAAAAGCAGAAGTCAGGGCCGCCTCTGGGCTTGAAGTTAGCACGCAGAACGTTCGCAATTGCTTGCACCAGACTGGATTACGAGCACGGAGGTCTTGGCGAGCTCCGCTCAATTCCCGGCAACGTCAACAACGAAGATTGCAGTGGGCTAGACTTCGGCAAAATGAAGAAGGTGAGGACAAAAACATTTGGCAAAACTGTCTCTTCGTTGACGAATCCCGAATCAGCACTCATCCAGATAACCGACGTGTCCGTGTCTGGAGAAGACCAGGCGACCGTGAAAGACAAAGAACTGCCACTGGAACAGTTCAGCAAGGCGGAAAATCGGTGTCCTTTTGGGGTGGCATTATGATTGGAGCTAGAACGCCTTTGATCCCGTATCGGGGCTTCATGACAGCAGACATGTACAAAGCAGTTGCTATTGATGATATCGTCAGACCATTCCGAGTAAACCATGGGCACCAATTTGTACTGGTCGATGATAATGCGCCCGCACATCGAGCTCAACGAGTCAATGCTGCTCTTCAAGAATACGATATCACACGATTAGACTGGCCTGCCGGCTCGCCCGACTTAAACCCAATAGAGCACGCGTGTGATGCTCTTAAACGAGCAGTATGGAACCGTGAGCCACGTCCCCAGACAGTTCCAGAGCTCAGAGAAGCCGCTATTGAAGAATGGGATAGGTTACTCCAGGAAATGCTGGATAACTTGATCCTCAGCATGCCCAGGAGGATCTTCGCATGTATTCGAGCCAGGGGAGGAGTTATTTTATATTGAATTCACACCTTTTAATAATAAATTGTTGTTTAAGTTTCATTAAACAGTCTTTTTCTTTCTATGAAATTTCTATCACTATTACATTATGATTAATGGCTCAATTTTTTAAAATAAATAATAAAAAATAGTTTTATATTTTAATTTCAAACAGGGTATTCCTATTTAAAGAAAGCATACAACATAGATTTTTTCTTGATAAAGTTAAATTTAAAGAATTATAGGAGCTTATGCTATTGATCGCAAACTTTTTTTGATGTGTGTACATCATTTTTGAACCACCTCGACACAAGACAAACGAAATCTGACAAAATGTGGTAAACAATCAATCTTTCAATTAGCATAAACGAGAATTAGTACTGAGTCGTTAAAAAAATTATTCAAATCGACAGACCGAAGCATTACAATATAAAATTTTACGGTGAAATGTGTGAATCGCACTACTCCATTAATTCACCGTTTACACGTAGTAACGCTATGCATTATGCATGCCGCTCCAATGCTGTAAATTCCAACACAGTTCGTCATGCATCTAGAGCAGATTACACAAATAGACACAAGGAGTGTAAATTTGTCACCGGCTTTTTTAATCAATTTATCTCGTGGAATACTGATCTGCGAAATAACTATTTAGTAAATAAACCGAATTTAACCAATATGTACATATATGTTTTGTATATAAGATATTTAATATTTTGCCCGAAAACCCAAAGACTTTCAGGATTTCGATTACTTATTATTAAACGTAATATTTTTCTATTTCATATAACCACTTAAAAGCGATGTGGTTATATGCTTAAAATTACACAGTAAAAACAAACAACCGTGTTATAACAAAAAGATGTTTACAAGAACCCTTTGACCAAATAGACTGCTGCTGGCAAGTTGCCAGACTGAGCAGACGAGATTCGAATTATGTAGGCGCACTCTCTGGCAAACATTGTGGGATTTTAAAACACTTTTCACAGCGAATAAATCTATATCTAATACATTTCTACAATTATTGTTAATAATAAGAATTACAATTCCACATAATTTCAGAATGGTAGAGTCGCTAAGCTAGTCATTAAAGATAACAAAATAAAACAACAATGATAATTATATCTACTACCTATGCACTCGAGTGCCTGAAGTCTGAACGTAGCTGTGTGTCTATACAATCAACATACAATTAAGTAATAAAATGTGCTTACCCCTTTTTTGACGCCTGTCATCAGTGCTTCTTCGAATGTCTTTTTCTTTTCGTACAGGTGCTTTCTTAACAACAGTTTTTTCCGAGCGGGAAGACTGCGAACCCCATGTGCCGGAACGAATACGTTCCCCACTTGCTTGCTGATCTGTTGTCGATTCCACATCTTCCTCCTTTTTGACACTAACCTTCAGTTTAGCGTCTTGAGTTAAAACCTAAAAAAATAAATTTACATTTATTTTTGAAATAATCCTACTTTGTGTATAAAAAAGCATGGCATTTTACAACAATATATAATAATTGATTGCATTTTTTTTTAATATTTACTTGTTTCTCATCAGCTCGCTTCACCCAAATGTCTTCTACGCTGGTAAGCCCATCGTCTACAGTGGACCGAATTTCTATTAAACTACTGTCAAAGTAATTTTTATCATGGTGGAGATTCTGTCCAGGAAAAATATTGCGCACGTTGGGCCTCTGCTCTTCGGCGCCCCTTGTCCCAAAATGCACAGTGTGAGCATTGTGATGTGTGCGTAGTACTCGTTCAATTGTCGTTGGTGGCGGAGCCTGTGCTGTTGTAACAAGAAATTTGTGCCGGGCTCCCATCACCATCCGGCCTGGCGACTGGCCTTCTGAGTCGACACAGTCGTCAACAAACTGTTCCAAGTCTGTTACAGCTTTGAAGTCATCGTCACCATCCTTAGATAATGTGTTAAAACTTCCTTGTGATGCTATTTCAGAATCTGACTCCGAGGATTCTGCAGAAGGAGGATGCTCGCCCTCTTTTCTCTCATCGTCTTCGTCTTCTTCTCGGCATTGAGAAAGGCGACGCCGTTCCGCAAAAGGAAACGGCGAGTTGGAACTTGAGTTACGACTCGATAAATTGTTACAGTGGTTCATAAAATAATGCTGGAAGAAGCTATCTGTTTCAGGAGTGTCATTGCTATCTCCTTGAATAATATCCTTAAGAGCAGCCAGGGATGTGATGGTGTTGTAGTTAATAGCATTTACTAAGTCTTCGCTGTCGGTGGAACTTCCCGACCCTCCATCGGTATTGTCTTCCTCCACCAAATTGCTCATTTGGCGACATACTTCGTCTAACGTCTCGTCGGTACTTTTACTGTCGACTTTTTTCTTTTTCTCATTTTTTCGTCCGTTCTTCTTTGCTTTGACCTTAGATCTTGGCTTTGTTTCGGAATCCATTGAACGGCATTCGCATATATTAGTTTTTCCAAAACTAACGTATAAACTTTAGGCGGGAATTATAAGGCACTATATTTATTTGTAAACGCTATCAGATACAGTCACATGTTAACTTTTTAGTTTTAACTGTGTAATATTGCTAAAATTCACGTCACTCCCGTCACCGTATTCGGGCCATAGGGAACTTTTTAAAAAATAAATAGTCTTCACTGAACATATTTTATATCTGAAATATCACGTATCTCTCTTGACTTAGTTCTGAGTAAACTACATGAAAAATAATCAACTTGTCCACATCAAACCAGAACCGTGTCGCTTTGAGAAGTAAGATATAAGTTACCACCATGAAAATCCTAAATTCTACGCTAAACGGCTACAAAATACTTTGCTGGACTTCTGAATACTAATTTGGTTAATTATATTAATGAAATGCAAGTGGTTAGCGAATATAAGCTAATTAGAAACTGACAAATAACAGTTAGTAGCAGTAGAGCTCCTTGTGAGAGTTCGTCCAGGGTAGTACTGCCACCTTACCTATTTCTACTGCCAAGCACTAATGTCAGCATTACTATGTCCCGGTTTGGAAGGGTAGGGGTACTGGTGAAATTACAGGCACATGGGACTTCAACTTCAACTCGACTATCAACTTATGTCTCAGGGTGACGGACGCAGCGGTAGTGTCCCTCAGATCTTTGCAACTTAAAGCTCTGAGTGGCACTGCAACTGTTGTGGACAGGCGTGTAGCTTACCATTAGGCGCACGACTGTCCGGCCCGTCACTTGATATTATAAAAAAAATAAAAAGTGCAGCTGCATTCGGAGTATCGGAGCGCACGGGTAAAAAGCGCTCACGTGTAAACAGAATGCACTTAAAATCTGCGGCGAACGCATGAACCTGTGCGGATTAAACGCGCTAGTATTAACTCAGCCTAAAGGTGGAACCGCATTTGTGACATTTTAACGCACCGAGATTCCGTGATGTGTATGTATATTTTTCGAAAAATTCTACGAAAGGCAATCTTGTTTTTTCACCCACTGCGGAGCGTGTACGCATCGACTGCGTGCCGAGCCGATCCGTGTCGTGGCACAAAATTGTGCCGTGTACTGGCGGCAAAGACAAACAAAATTACCGTTCACACTCTCTATAAAATTAAATGTTTTTATCACGCCGTACATTTAATGTAGTCTCTATCTCGGAGGCGCCAGGGCGTAGATCGCTGGGTGACATTAGGTCGTGTCATTTGTGCGCACGGTGTCACGGTGACAAAGTCTCGGTGCGTTGAAATGTCACAATTGTGAATTCACCTTTATTAGAGATATACATATACATTTATACTGATGAAGCACTTTAACAGCTGTCCATAATTTTAGTTATTACCGTTTTAAGGTAACTATATTCGCACCCATTGAGAGAATATAGTTACCATAAAACGGTGAAATCGTCATCCAATTCCAAATTTTATTTACAGTGATGTAGCCGCGTTGTTTGTAAGTTTTCACTAAGAACTTCCAGCACAGGTTTATAACATTCATAGTGAATCGCTTAGTGAATAGCTCGACTGCGATCGAATAAGTCAAACTAAAGCTAGGTTCCAGGTACAGTACCTGTTTTAAATCGCTTTGCACAATTCAGAATGTTACAAAAAAGCCGGGAAACTCTTGATGAAAAAACATATTTCACTTAGTAAAATACTTTGACAATAACGTTACAGAAAAATAAAAAAACATTATTATTATTCCCTTAATGGCGGCCACTATGAGGGACTTAGAGGATGGAAAAAAATTAGTCTAAGATAAGGCCAGTGGTGCACAGCAAAATTTCAATCACCATTCGTTGGCAACCATAGATGTCTCTTTCGTGAGTTGAGTCAAAGTTTAAACACTTTTTTGCAATGCTCTGCTGGTACATGAACTGGCTAGAACTCTCAGGATTTAATGTGACGATGTAGGTACTTTGTTACTAGTAACTTAGAAATGATCAGGTGCGATTGTTCTTGTTGCTATTGTTCATCGCGGAAGCCAAAGACTTCTAGTACATTGATATTGGTGGAAGGAATTATACCCAACAAGGAACATTTGCAAATCTATAATTTCTTTCTTCAGTTTGTACACAGACGTACATATAGCGTAATATTAACTTGCCCACAAATTTACAGGAACAATAGCTAATACTCGAAGACATACGGAAAGCCTTCAGCTTTTTATGAGCCATCGATCCATTAGCAACAATAAGAAACTTTGAATATAAAGTTAAGAATACAATCTTGCGAGCATGTTCCAGTCCTGCGAGATTATGTCCTGAATTGGACATTCACTAACCAAACCGAAATTAAATTAAATAGTTCATGATCTACGAACTAATATAGACAATAATTGTGGTTTGTCAGTTTTCCGTTGTTTCAAAATTATATTGAATGAAAAAAGACGTCTGTAGATGCACTTTCTACATGTCACACTACACAATATTGTTAAACGCTATTGTCTATATATTCTGTTGACGGTATTTATACCATTAAAAAATATTAATTATGTACTAAAATGGTATAATCTACGTATCTGCTATATTTTTATTTTAGTGAACAGCAAACTGCAAAATTCTTAACAGATTGGGCGGCCGGGGACACTCCTCTTAACTATATCAACAAGAACAAAATACGAAAGTATTGCCAAAATATGGATGACATCATTTCCTTCTATAAATAGATGCAAGTTCGTAAACAGATTCACAATTACTTCAGACCGTCATTTCGAACACTTCGCCGTTGATCAAGGGGATAGCCTTGCTAGCGAGTTCCACAGAAAAGAAGTTTGATTCTATTTTGTATACTAATTACCTAAGTAAAGTCAATAATAGTTATTCACGTTCAAGAAATTAAAATCTTAGGTTGTGGACAGTCAGTTACCCGCTAAATTATAGTATTAGGTACAAAATTACGCAGGCCTAAGAACTCGTATTTATCGACTACTTAATTAAGGGGCCAACTTTAATCTAATTATTTTAAAAAATCGGTACATTAAAAAAATTACGAACCTGAATGAATGCCCCGCATCAAAAAGTTTTATATACACATCTACCATATTATTTCAATAATAATTAAACTACGGAATATACAAATTACACGTAGTAGTGGTTCTAATCTATCTCTGTCTCGCTCACGGACCAGAAGTACATTTCTCTTAACAATGCTGAAAAATATAGACGAAAAAAAAACACGTGCACAATCTATCAGAAAAGCAACTACCAATTGCCGTTTAATAAAGACTGTTTGTTAGATTGATTGTGTTCTAATCAACGCTGGTAGGATGTACCTAAAACTGATTTAAAGTAAATATTTTTTTATAAACATTGCACATGATAACTGTTACAACTAAATACTTACTAATTAATAAAATGTAGCAATGATGAATGATAATGATGATGATAGTACGATCTAGCAATGACCTATCAACACATGGATGGAGACACGTATTGTTAACTCTTTTTGAGGTAGATAATGCATTTACCTAATTCTAGAGGGCATACGCTGATTACCCACTAATCGAGCTTGAACCCTGAGTTCATTAAAGCTGGCTAGATTCGACGCTCGCTAGAGACCAGTATCGACGCAAAATGACGTCACACAGACCTCGCGTACTTTTAATCGCTGTTGTCACACGAACAGTTCATTATTGACAAATTTTTTTCAAAATCAAAATATTATGTAGTTAGATAATTAGTTGTATAGGTTTTCATTTTTTTTCATTGATTGACTGCATGTTTGCAGTTAATGCCGGAAGTCGTATTCAACTTCATGCAGCCGAAACTTCGTGATCTCGGGTAACGACTTAACGCATTAACTGTATGCAGTCGAAATCGACTTCATGCAGCCGAGATCGACTGCAGGCAGTAAACGCGTGAAGTCGTTATCAACTTCATGCAGTCGAGGTCTCGGCTGCATGAAGTTGATTGTGACTTCACGCATTAACTGCAAACATGCAGTCAAACTGTTAGCAGCCTAACTCTGTTATGTAGTAACGTAAATATTTCCATATTTCATGCAAAATGTTAACAACCACACAAATCACATAATCGAATAATAAGCAGCGCCTAGCCCCTAAAATAGAACACGCCCAACCATACACCCTCTAAACAATTCAAGGCACTTACAAATCCACCATTTCATTGTTATTGCACTAATCCTAAAATTACGTTATCGAAAGTACTTAATTTACTATATTGTACGTGACTGTTAATCGCACAGTGCTCTATTTGCGAAAAGATTTATAGTTATCCAGTAATTTGTTAAGAGAGAGAGTCAAGGGTAAAAAGAAAGCCAGACTCGACTCGTCGAATAGTCGCGAAACTTGGCAATATTTTTACATTTAATGTTTTCAATGGAATTCGTTTGACATCATAATCCTGACCTTGAGTTGAACCTATGTACCTACTTACAATAAATACCTAATCATACATTTATACATTACATGTCTAACCTAGCAATATTAAAATTAGAAGTCAAGGATAATGATTTTAAAATTTGAATTTAAAAGTTTATTATCAGCACATATAAGAGTGGGTTTATTTGAAGTACCTCGGTATAATAATTCTGCGACTGATAAGATAACTGAGAACCACCGTTAGCGATTTACGCACTAAATGTCAGTTAAAATCACTAACAAAAAATTTTAGACACTTTCACTTTCAGATCTGCATGATATATTATATATCAATCAAAGAAGAAGAATGAATCGCCAATCCACCAGGCAAACAAGCTTCATGATTACGACAAGACCTATGTTGAATAGTGGAATTTAAGGGTCGTATTCTAGAACTCTACTCCATGCTCAAGTAAGGATTTGAGTATGGTTTAAAGCACTCGAAATCATACTCAAGTCCCTGCCATTAGAGTCGTATTTCCAGTGCAATCCTGACTTTAGCATTGAGTAGAGTTCTAGAATACGACTCTAAGGGTCGTATTCTAGAACTCTATTCAATGCTCAAGTCAGGATTTGAATATGGTTTAAAGCACTCGAAATCATACTTAAATCCCAGCCATTAGGGTCGTATCTCCAGTGCTTGAAATCATACTCAGATCCTGACTTGAGCATTGAGTAGAGTTCTAGAATACGACCCTTAGAGTCCATCTAAAGATGAAAATAATGATTAATATCAAACAAAGACTGTTACAGATAAGTCAATGATGCAATAAATACT